AGCTGAGAAGCCTTTCTGAATTCCTAAAGCAGGATCTGAATTGTCAAAGCTGAGGGCACTCAGGCTTGTCCACCCTCCACTCCAAAATCCAGTTCAGGAGCCTGACTGAGCTTCCTGGCTGCATCTGCTGGATCTCTAGCCAGGCACACCCCCGCTGATCCGGAGCTGGGAGGTGATCCCTGAGCAGTCCTCCATCCTGCTCTAAATCCGGCCCCAGTCCTGGGGAAGTTGTGCGCTGGCTAAGCTTCACTTGGAGCTAGCTCCCCTGGGGTTACAGAGGGACTTAACTGCGTACGGCCACCTTGGCAGCTGCGTACCAGAACCACATCCTTCCCCACTGACGCCTGGTCCTTGTGTGGAGGGAAAGGGCTCTTCCCCTGCCCGGCACAGGGTGCAGCTTTGGCTGCTCTGTGCTTCTGATGCTGCCCGATCAGGCAGCCACCCGAGGCGAGCCTTGGGTTTTGTCCTTTCTCCTCGTTTTGACGCACCTCAAAGGGAAAGAAGTTTCTGTTGAAGATCCCGGAATTTCTCTAGCCGATGATCTTGTAGGGCCGCCCTTTGCAGATACACTAAAACAGACGAACCCTCGCCCCGACCACGCGGCGTGTGCGTGCTCTGAACCCTGCTTGGGAAGCCTGCGCTCTGAGGCTGTGGCGCTGGGCACTGGGACAGTCGGAACGGTGCGATGCTCCCAGGGGCCCTGAGCCAAGCTGTTCCTTAAAGGGCTGGTCTCCGTGGTCACTGCTGTGAGGCTTCTGCAGGCCTTGCACTGTCTGTGGCACAATCCCATAGACACCGGGCTCTAGACCCTCCAAAATCAGGTGCTTCTCTCCACAGAGCTCTTCCTTGCAGCGTTTCGCAGCCGCAATGTGGCTTTTAGCAGCGCGGTACCAAGCGAGACCACCTCTTTAAGACTAACGGCATTCATGTTGTAGCTGGCAGACTCTCCCTGGCTGGCTGAGCCCTAGCTTAACGCCAAGTTCTGTCCGATTAAAATCGGTTCTTTCACGATCTCAGCCTGGAGTCTGGCTTCCCTCTCTCAGCAGCTGCTGCTGAGCCTTGGGAGCGGAGCGACTGCAGGCTCCCGGCCTCGGCAAACCTCTGCCAGGGACGTGTGCTGCCAGTGCTGCTGCCAGGCAGGCTGCACCACACCTGGCGTTCACGCTCCGAAGTACTAATCCTGCATGGCCATAATCTTACCCGGTGTATCGGACTAACCGTGACTGGAGAAAAGGCTTCCAGTTAATTGTGGGAAAGGGAAGTCTCCCTGAGAGAAGCTTATCGCAGCGTACTTGCATGCCTGTGGCTGACAGACGTGTTACAAGACCGGTGCTGGTTTTCCCCTCGCACAACGGGAAGCCTCTAACTGCTAGTGACTGGGAAGA